CTCAAACTGGCGGCCCGCAGGCCGGATGCGTCACGCACAGGCCACGCCCACCCCGGCTCTGCAAAGGCAAAAAAACCATCACGATATGTCGGGATACGTCACGTGACGTGATCGAGTTTGACACCCGCGATGTAAAATGCCTAATGGCACCTGCATTCTGTTGTACTGGATTATCACTTTTCATCATATTTATTTATGCATTTATATCCCAGCTTTGTTATTTATATAATTAACTCAAAGCATCAAACATATCCAACACACCTTCCTCCTCCTGTTTTCCCCACAACGACAGCCCTGTGAGGTGGGTTGGGCTGAGAGAGAGAGACTGGCCCAAAGCTGGTTTTGATGCCTAACGTGGGACTAAAACTCACCATCTCCTGTTCTAGGCCAGCACTTTAACCACCGCACCAAACTTTCTCAGCTACCTGGCTAAAGTTTATTTATTTATTTACATTTATTTGTGAAACAAAAGTTACAAATTCGAACGAGCAAAATGAAGAACAATTAACACGTGACGGGGGCGATAGGCATGTTAGTGCACTTACGTGTGTCCCCCTTAGGAACCTCTTAAATATGGGGTGAGGTCCACAGAAGTGAAGTTAGAATTAAAACCGTGAAAGTTTAGTAGCTGAGACAACTGAATCGGATAACCTATTCCAGACTTTGACAACTCTGTTACAAAAATAAAAATGTTTACCGTGCGGTTTACGTTAAGTTTAAAACGGTTGTTTGCCCGTGTTACATTACGATTAAAAGTAAAAAATGTCATTTAGAGATAAGACGTTACCATGCGCAGTTTTTATATGCAATACCTAAATGTGCGCAATGGTGAAGCAAATTCTCCATAATAGAAGTTTAAAGTAGATAAGAAATATACAGGCTTCTTTGTGTGAGGAGAATATTTAAGATAACAGTTTGCTAATTATTAAATAACCGAATAATGTCTGTATAAGAAGCGATGAATACATACATTTGCACGCATGCAAACACTCTTACTACCCGTTTGGATTTGGCTGAAGCTTTGTCCTGTTGAACAACCTTTTAATATATTCCCAAATACAGCGTTTATTTTATTTTATATGCATAGCACAGGGTAGCTATAAATTAGTGATCAAAGCCGAAGCCATAATCAGCAGTTTTCCTTGCCCAATTAAATTTTAAGGCTATTATTGGGATGTATTATGGCGGGGGTAGGCAACTTTGGCTCTTTTATGACTCGTGGACTTCAACTCCCAGAATTCCTGAGCCAGCATGGGGGAACTATGGCCCCTTCATGACTCGGGGACTTCAACTCCCAGAATTCCTGAGCCAGCATGGCTCAGCTTGGAAACCTCTCTCTGTCCCCTCAGCATGGCTGGCTCAGGAATTCTGGGAGTTGAAGTCCACAAGTCATAAAAGAGCTAAGGTTGCCTACCCCTGTATTATGGGAACAATAACCTATTGTTACTCGATTATTGTGTTGCAATGACAAAAATATTGCCATGATTACCTTTAAAATGCAGGGTACAAGCTGTTTCCTGCGATGGGTACGGAACCTGGACGATGAAGTACACGCACTTGTTGCAGGTAAATCTACATTTCCTCCCAACCATCTCTCTCAGATTCCCAAAGTTAGTAGTTTCCACGCATCTCCTTAAGAGTGAAAAGCTTTCTGATATTTTCTGGAGAATAATGTTTTCTGGAGAATAATGTATGTCTAGTTTAATGAAGAGAAGGACGAGGGGGGACATGATAGCAGCTTTCCAATATCTCAGGGGCTGCCCCGAAGAAGAGGGAGTCAAGCTATTCTCCAAGGCAGGACAAGAAGCAACGGATGGAAATTAATCAAGGAGAGAAGCAACCTAGAACTAAGGAGAAACTTCCTGACAGTTGGATCAATTAACCAGTGGAACAACCTGCCTCCAGAAGTGGTGAATGCTCCAACACTGGAAGTTTTTAAGAAGAGACTGGACAGCCATTTGTCTGAAATGGTATCCATAAATGATTGCAAGGAAGCCTTGATAAATTACGAAGCTAGTTACCATAATACGCAAAGGTGGCGTGGAGACCACGTCTGGAACAGAACGTTTGCAGTATTGAAAAATCGGGGGGGGGGGGGGGGGGGNCTCAAACTGGCGGCCCGCAGGCCGGATGCGTCACGCACAGGCCACGCCCACCCCGGCTCTGCAAAGGCAAAAAAACCATCACGATATGTCGGGATACGTCACGTGACGTGATCGAGTTTGACACCCGCGATGTAAAATGCCTAATGGCACCTGCATTCTGTTGTACTGGATTATCACTTTTCATCATATTTATTTATGCGTTTATATCCCAGCTTTGTTATTTATATAATTAACTCAAAGCATCAAACATATCCAACACACCTTCCTCCTCCTGTTTTCCCCACAACGACAGCCCTGTGAGGTGGGTTGGGCTGAGAGCGACTGGCCCAAAGCTGGTTTTGATGCCTAACGTGGGACTAAAACTCACCATCTCCTGTTCTAGGCCAGCACTTTAACCACCGCACCAAACTTTCTCAGCTACCTGACTAAAGTTTATTTATTTATTTACATTTATTTGTGAAACAAAAGTTACAAATTCGAACGAGCAAAATGAAGAACAATTAACACGTGACGGGGGCGATAGGCATGTTAGTGCACTTACGCGTGTCCCCCTTAGGAACCTCTTAAATATGGGGTGAGGTCCACAGAAGTGAAGTTAGAATTAAAACCGTGAAAGTTTAGTAGCTGAGACAACTGAATCGGATAACCTATTCCAGACTTTGACAACTCTGTTACAAAAATAAAAATTTTTACCGTGCGGTTTACGTTAAGTTTAAAACGGTTGTTTGCCCGTGTTACATTACGATTAAAAGTAAAAAATGTCATTTAGAGATAAGACGTTACCATGCGCAGTTTTTATATGCAATACCTAAATGTGCGCAATGGTGAAGCAAATTCTCCATAATAGAAGTTTAAAGTAGATAAGAAATATACAGGCTTCTTTGTGTGAGGAGAATATTTAAGATAACAGTTTGCTAATTATTAAATAACTGAATAATGTCTGTATAAGAAGGGATGAACACATACATTTGCACGCATGCAAACACTCTTACTACCCGTTTGGATTTGGCTGAAGCTTTGTCCCGTTGAACAACCTTTTAATATATTCCCAAATACAGTGTTTATTTTATTTTACATGCATAGCACAGGGTAGCTATAAATTAGTGATCAAAGCCGAAGCCATAATCAGCATTTTCCTTGCCCGATTAAATTTTAAGGCTATTATTGGGATGTATTATGGCGGGGGTAGGCAACCTTGGCTCTTTTATGACTCGTGGACTTCAGCTCCCAGAATTCCTGAGCCAGCATGGCTCAGCTTGGAAACCTCTCCCTTTCCCCTCAGCATGGCTGGCTCAGGAATTCTGGGAGTTGAAGTCCACAAGTCATAAAAGAGCCAAGGTGGCATACCCCTGTATTATGGGAACAATAACCTATTGTTACTCGATTATTGTGTTGCAATGACAAAAATACTGCCATGATTACCTTTAAAATGCAGGGTACAAGCTGTTTCCTGCGATGGGTACGGAACCTGGACGATGAAGTACACGCACTTGTTGCAGGTAAATCTACATTTCCTCCCAACCATCTCTCTCAGATTCCCAAAGTTAGTAGTTTCCACGCATCTCCTTAAGAGTGAAAATCTTTCTGATATTTTCTGGAGAATAATGTTTTCTGGAGAATAATGTATGTCTAGTTTAATGAAGAGAAGGACCAGGGGGGGACATGATAGCAGTATTCCAGTATCTCAGGGGCTGCCCCAAAGAAGAGGGAGTCAAGCTATTCTCCAAAGCGCCTGAAGGCAGGACAAGAAGCAACGGATGGAAACTAACCAAGGAGAGAAGCAACCTAGAACTAAGGAGGAATTTCCTGACAGTTAGAACAATTAATCAGTGGAACAACCTGCCTCCAGAAGCGGTGAATTCTCCAACACTGGAAGTTTTTAAGAAGAGACTGGACAGCCATTTGTCTGAAATGGTATCCATAAATGATTGCAAGGAAGCCTTGATAAATTACGAAGCTAGTTACCATAATACGCAAAGGTGGCGTGGAGACCACGTCTGGAACAGTACGTTTGCAGTATTGAAAAATTTGGGGGGGGGGGTTGGGCCGAGAATAATGCTAGAACAGATTGTAAGAACAGAAGCAACCCCAGCAGAACTTGGAAAGGCACAAAAAGAAAGCATACTAAGAAATAAGAAAGAAAGGGGCCTCGGATAGAATGGTTACAAGTCTTGAATATATGAGTTAACAGATCGGGGGATATGTTGATCATTGTGATACCTTCCCCCCCCCCCCCCCCCGTCTTCTCATGGTGTTAAAAATCAGCATTCATCCAATGAAGCTGAATGGTGAAAACTTTAGGATAAACCAAAGGAATCACTTCTTCAGCACCTGACTTGAAGTGTAACATTTTCTACCGGTGATGTGATAAACCTAATTTGCAGTGGCTTCAAAACAGGAGTGGACAGATCAAGTTTTAAGTGACTCCTGACTGTCACAGTGATGTATTAGCCTTTTCCAGCATGATTCCCTGCAGCAAATCAGAAAGGGGAGGATGATCTGTTTTACCTCACGTACCCTGAGCTCTTTATAAACCTTCAAGATGGAAAGATGTCTCAGTGGCATCAGGTTGTCCACAAGGGTGAGACAGGATGCTGAACTAGACAAACTTTTTTCAATCCAGCTGGAATCCCTTTCTCTCCATTTATTTGGGAACTGCTAGAGTGGAATTTCATGTGGTCCAGTATTCAGAATTTGGCTAATTTACTTTATATGTCTTTTTTTTTAACCACACAGGGTCCCTAGCTGGATTGTCAATGATGTTTTACAGAAGCACATCTATTTCAATGTACCTGGCTTCCAAACTAGTAGAGGTGAGCTTTTTTGTGCTGTCAGAATGTCTTTTCCTCACGAATGGCAGAATTAGTTTCATCCAATGATTCTCCCAGTCAAGCTCCCCAACCACGTATTTTCTAGATGAGTGGAAAGCACCGTTCAAAAATATTAGGATCCAGTTCTTCGCTAGTCTACAGGGCTGCTTCTTAGAGAGGCTCTTGACGAACTCTTGAGAGTTTGAAGTCCATTGTTATTGTTATGATTGTGATTATTTTGTTGTTTTGCACGGACACTGAGAGTTTATGCACCAGAGACAAATTCTTTGTTTCTAATTAAGAATTCTATTCTATTCTATTCTATTCCAATCCAATCCAATCCAATCCAATCTCTATATTCTATTCTATTCTATTCCATTCCATTCCATTCCACTCCACTCCACTCCACTCCACTCCACTCCACTCCACTCCATCACATCACACCACACCACACCACACCACACCACACTTCATTTTCTTGTTTCAATATATTTGGAGAGCAGCAAATTGTAAAAGACTCTCATTGTTCTTTCCTATCATGCATTCTACTGACTTAGCCTGGTCGAAGAATCTTGCTAATCAGATATTAGAATTCCCACAATTGGAAATCAATCAAATGCAGGTAGTCCTCAACTTACAACAGTTCATATAGCGATGTTCAAACTTACAGTGGCACTGAAAAAAATGACCCATGACCATTTTTCATAACCTTTGCAGCCTCCCCCTGGTCACATGATCAAAATTCAGACGCTTAGCAACTGACTCATATTTATGACAGTCACAGTGTCCCGGGGTTACGCGATCCCCTTTTGCGACCTTCTGACAAACAAAGTCAATGGGGGAAGCCTGATTCACTTAACAACCGTGTTACTAACCTAACAGCTGCAGAGATTTACTTAACCACCGTGGCAAGAAGAGTTGTAAAACGGGACAAAGCTCATTTAACAAATGTTTCACTTAGCAATAGAAATGTTGGGGCCAATTGTGGTTATAAGTCGAGGGTTACCTGTAGTATATTTTATACCATCTGAAGAGTTTTTCTTTTCTTTTCAGCTCAGACCATTAAGTCCACAGTCTAAAGTAGTCACATCAGTGATCCTTGTTTTGGATCATGTAACCCTGACTAGAGCATGTAGATATGTATGTTAGAATGTTTGGCATTTATTGGGTTAAGTGCTGTCTCCTTAAGAGATGGCTTATGGGTAATGTAGTTTTAGCTAGTCAGCTATCCCATGTTAACAGGTCAGTAGGAGGAGGAAAGGAGGAGCCTCTAAGCTCATCACAAAATATCCTGGCCACGGGCCAGTTTGGAATGCCTTTGTCTGAGATAAGCATGGGATCAACGGAGGACACAGACGTGGTCCTTATTCACGCTAGAAGTTTGATGTGGAGAAATTAATGATTTTACTGTTCTGTGACATGAATCAAAATGCCTTTATAATTCAATCACAGACTGATAAACTCAAACAAAGATGATTGTAAAACATATACTCTAATCCACAGTCTAAAGTAGTCACATCAGTGATCCTCACTAACTATGAATGAACCATGCACTGGAGGATATCAGTTGATTCCACTGCTCCTTTTTAAAAAGCCTCGTAGGGTTGACTCCCCGTATGGGTCATTTTTCTTGTGCCTAGCCTTACATCATTAGTCTTTTTTTGGAAACTCGCTCACTCACTCGCTTGCTTGATTATTTATTTATTTTTTAAATTTTATAGACCATGTATTTCAAAGGCATCGAAGCTGGAAAGGTTCCTTATTTCCCTCACGCGGACAGTATAATCTATGCTGTATCCACAGCCATCTGCTTCCAAGCTGTAAGTTTCTGTTCTTTAGGTTCAAACTCTTTTGTTTTATGTCTAAGGTTGCTCATTAAGTAAAGTAAAAGGACGTGGGGCAGTTTGTCCTGGACATTTCATTCATACGATAGCTGCTTGACTCTTATTTCACTTTAAGACAGGGGTGTCAAACTGCCGGCCCATGGGCCGGACACGTCACGTGGAAGCCACGCCCACCCCATTGCCGGCAATGGCGAAATCGACCCGATACGTTGTGCGACGTCACGTGACGTCGTGAGTTTGACATGCCTGCTTTAAGAGGTTTGTTAGCATTTACATGCTGCTAGAGAAGAAGAGATTATCAAACCTGCCCTATGCTGGGGACATGTTCTAAAAGCCCAAACAACTACATTGCTAGAAGAAAATATTTGTAATGCAGAATGGAATTGAGAGATACTTGGTGCTCTCTCAGTTTGGTGTCAGTGGATGAGAAGCGAAATGTCTTCAAAGAAAAATCAAGAAAGTCCAGTTGCCTTGTGAAAAAGCATCTTTGGGATAACTATGACCTGGAGCAGAGATCCCCAACCTTTTGGGCACCAGGGACCGGTTCCGTGGAGAGAGGTTTTTCCGCAGACCGGAGGGGGCGTGGTTTTGCGTGCTGCCTGCATCTTGCGGATGGGGCTTTGTTTGTTTGTGCAGACCGGTTGCTGGCATGCCACGGCCCGGCACTGGTCCACGGCCCGGGGGTTGAGGACCCCTGACCTGGAGGACTGAGAAGCTCCATAGACACATTTTATTTTGGCCCTCCTTTGCACCCTTTCTTTAATGATTCTATTTGACTATTTCTTCGATATTCATATAAATCTTGTCCCGTGGCAAGTTGGCCATGGTGAGTTGTCCCACTTTGAGTTGACCGCAACCAGTTGGCAACGGTGAGATGGCCGTGGCAAATTGGCCATGGCGAGTTGTCCCACTTTGAGTTGACTGCAACCAGTTGGCAACGGTGAGATGGCTGTGGCAAGTTGGCCATGGCGAGTTGTCAAAGACTCTTCATGTTATGCCCATGTGCACTGGCAACCACTGCTGCACAACTTAGTGGTTGCCAGTAGGCTTCTGAAAGCAGTTCAAGATGCACCTAGAAAGTCCTTCGTGGCCCAGGACCTTATTATCTGGGCAGCCATCTCTCTCCCATTGTTTCTGCCTGCCTGGTACACTTGGACAAGTGAATGCACTCCAGATCTCTTCAATTAAATGTTGCTATCTTGAGAGACTAAGGAAACATGCCTTTACTACTTCAGCCCCTGCCCTCTGGAACATCATATCCCCTGTCCTTCCCTGAAGTATGGACGGTGCCCATTCTCCTTGGGTTCCAGGAAGTCTTAAGATCCGACTCTGGTCCCAAGCTGGGTTTCATGTGTGTGTTCGTATATTTGTGCTGTTTACTGTTCTGATTGTTTTAGCCCCGGCTGCTTGTTAACTGTTTTGATTAGGGGTTTTTTTGGGGGGGGGCAGGGGGGATTTTGTAAGCTGCCCAGAGTCTGATGGAATTGGGGTTTAACTATAGCAAAATGTTCAATTGAATTGCCAAGTTAAAGCCAGAATTTTTGTTTTTAGGCTGTGATGGAAGTCCAGAACCTGAGACCTTCATACTGGAAATTCCTATTGCGATTAACGAAAGGAAAGTGAGTAACTCTCAGTGCTTACATGTCTATTATCCAGATCATGGTTGTCCCAAAGGTGCTTTTTCCAAAAGGCAACTGAACTTTCTTGGAAGCTTGAGAAATGAAATGTTTTCATAAGAAAGAAAGAGGGAGAGAGAGAGAGAGGGAGGGAGGGAGAGAGAGAGAGAGAGAGAGAGAGAGAGAGAGAGAGAGAGAGAAAGAAAGAAAGAAAGAAAGAAAGAAAGAAAGAAAGAAAGAAAGAAAGAAAGAAAGAAAGAAAGAAAGAAAGTCCACTTGCTTTTTGAACAAAAGCACCTTTGGGTCCCAGTGACTACCATTGTTCATTTCTGTAAGAAATACGATGGATACCAGACTTTCTTTTTTAAGGAATTTTGAAGGCATTTTGTGTTAAATGACGAGATGGTCAATTAACACAATTTTTTAAAAATAAAAAAAACATTCTAGGAGTACAAATCTTACACGAAGACTGGGTTTTCTCTCAAGATTCCTAGTTTTCCTTGTGATCCTAGCGTTCCCTTCATAGTTTTCATGAACAGAATTGTCCTCCAGTACATAAGATTTGTAGTTGGGCCCAAAAAAAAGCAGTGATTTAGACAGAGTGTCATTTTTAACCACAATTTTAGTTTGCATTAATTGCGACTTTCATTAGTCCCAAAGAGAAATAGAATAATATGTCAGATTGCAACCCTTTCTCGTCTACTTGGCTAGCAGAAACAACATTCACTGAAAGTTGGTTAGCCTTATACAAGAAGTCTAATAAAAAAGTTTATTTGAAACATTGGAGGAAAAAAAAATACCAAACATCTGAAATTTTTGAAGGCCTTTAAAAGGATACAAATTCTTAACTTCAAACTTAATATAAAGAACATTTCAGTCGGGTTTATTTGAAAATATTTTTGCCATTTCTTATCATTTTACCATTGTAGTGTATAAACATAGTAAGTATGTTTATTATATTTCTCTTAATATATCATTGCATGCTTCTTTTAACAAATACACTATTTCATGATCGTTTTTTAGTGGGATGAACATAGTTTTAAATCCCTAAACTTTGACAGAAAAAAAAGTTAAATCTATTACCTCGGAGATCATAATCCTGTTTTATGTTGCTTTATTCCCTGAGTTATATAGCAAATTAATTTTGGATTTTTCATTTTCTAGATTTGGTGTCATGAACAGAAAAGTATTAGACGCATTCGGTACTGAAGCATCTAAGCATTTTAAGGATTTCTGTCCAGAACTCGACCCAAGATACACAATTGTTCCACCAGAGAGACCTATTGAAAAATTTTGGAACTGATATATCCGTTTGTGATTATGTCTGACCAATGGCTGTCCTAAAGAGTTAATTAACAGTCAAATAGATGGAAGAATGCTTGTGTTCCACATCAGTATTGTTTCAGTGAGTTATGTTATACAATCAAAATACTGAAACACCATAGCAAGGTGTGACTTAATTCCACTTCCCTTCTTAGATAGAAGCTCTGGGTCACTGTGGCTGGTTGACACAACCTGGTAGATTTTTTAAAAAAAATTACATTATATATCGACTGATTAATATATATGAAAAAGAAAAATTTAAAAAAATGCCCAGATGTGGTTTAAAAGATATACATCCACAGTTCACTCTGTCTCATTCCAGTAGGTAGCCTTTTATAAAAAAAAAATGATATTTTTACATTTAGAAGTAAAAGATATGTAAAACATATATGTATATGTATGCTATAGTTGCAGATCAGATTCTAGTGAAAAAGATTTTCTTTAGATAGATTTTTTTTTTAAAAAAAAGATTATTATGGCTCTTGACAATTGTTTAAAAAGGCAATATCGGTACTTTATTTATACAACTGCACTGTTTATATCCAACTTTGGCTTTGACTACTGTCTTCTGAGGGCATCAGCTCTCCGAACTCAGTTGCACACTGAGAGGTAAGAGAGGGGAAAAAAGTTGGACACTCGGACTTTTTAAGAGGTCTTGCAAAATAATAGAAAATCATCACCGCCACATGGAATGTACCAGTTTTCAGTTTTTGCATACATAAATTGAAGAAGAAAAAAATTTACACTGTTCTAATGACATTCTCCAGAAAGTGAATATGCCACTGAACATACAGCTACCTTGATTTTATAAACTTTAATGTTGGTTTCCAGTAACATTCAAAGTGAATCCAAGACCTTATTTTTAGTGGATAAAGTAAAACAAGGGAACATGTTGAGAATATTGGTGATATCTACATCTACAGATTGTGTTAGCTGATTTTCTGACCAGCCTGTGACACTTAATGTAAGCTGGTCATTGCACAAAGCCACTTCCCTTGATGGATTGTTTGATTTCTCCTTTAACAGTCACCTTAGTATAGTTGCACATGAACTGCAGGGAAGGATTTTCAAAGCATGTGAGAGATTAAAAGAAAAAAAAAACCTTAGATCTGTACGATTTCTTAAAAAGCTGAAATATCTGCGATCAAAAGTATCAGAAGGAGAGAGATTGCTTGGAACTAGATTTAATTTCTGTAAACTATTTTTTCCCATCTATTATATGATTCGAACATGCACACAAATTATCTAGTATTCTTATTTCACTCTCTGTAACGGTGATGCTGAATTCACGGGACAGGAGCATACATTTTTATTTTGATCCTAAGGAACCTGTCAGAATTGCCACTCAGACTGAACGAATGGAAATGGAAGGAAAGTGGAATGGGGAAAAAAAAATCTACATTACATCATACCGTAGAGCATCTCTCTCTTTCTGGTGTGAAATAATATTTCAGTCCCAAGTTTGCAGTTGTGTTCCAGTTGTTGTTTGGACTAACAGGACTGACTGTATTTATTGTCTTCATTGGAGAATGAAATCCTATGTCAATCTTTTAAGATAGTGGTCCCCAACCCCTGGTCTGTGGATCAGCACTGGGGCTGCGGCATGCCAGAAACTGGGCTGCGCAAACAAGGGAAGCCCCATCTGCGGGATGCAGGCAGCACACGAAACCACGCCCCCTCTGGTCCACGGAAAAACCTCTGTCCACGGAACCGTTCCCTGGTGCCCAAAAGGTTGGGGGCTGCTGTTTTAAGAGACTATTGATTATACTTGTTCAGTATTATACTTGTTCAGGTTGTTTAAATCAGATGGCTGCCCTAAACATTTGTCACTGCCAATTGTGTGGTGGAAGTGATGCATTGTCAATTGCTAGATGAGCAGAAAGTTTGAATGTCCCAGGTAGGGGTGAATGATGAACCTCTTGATCAATATTTCTGATGAAAGGCAATAGAGCAGGGGTCCATAATCCCCGGTCTGTGAACCGGTACCGGGCTGCGGCGCGCCAGCAACCAGTCCGCACAGACAAGCAAAGACCCATCCGTGGGAAGAAGGCAGCACACAAAACCATGCTCCCTCCGGTCTGTGGAAAAACCTCTCTCCCCAGAACCGGTCCCTGGTGCCCAAAAAGTTGGGGACCTCTGCAATAGAGCAAGTACTTCACAAAAGTAAACTTAGAACTCAGGGATCTATCCAACTCCCATCTCATGTGTTTGCCTGTGACTTTGAAGTCTGCTGAAATAGTTTGAAGAAGCCCAACACTGGTACAAGACCAATACCCCAAAATATAAACGGTATAAAATGTGGGGTAGTTTATATTTATTTTTTTTTATTTTTATATTTGGATTTATATCCCGCCCTTCTCCCGTAGGACTCAGGGCGGCTGACAATCAATTAAAAACATAAATAACAGTACAAATTTAATGCCTGGAAGAACAAAGAACATAGAATAACAAGAGTTAGGAGGGACCTTGCAGGTCTTCTAGTCCAACGCCCGCTGGTTGGACTAGATAGAAGAATAAATAAATAGAATAAGTGCCTGGTCAGCATTTATTTTTTAATTCTATCTCCAAACATCAGTATTTCTTTTCTTTGAATATCCTAATTTCTTGAAAGGAAAAACTTCTGTGACATCAATAAATTAACTTGAGGGCCGGGAGAACTGAGATGGAATGGGATGGAGGACATCTGCAGTCAGCATTGGGAGGGAAAGAGCCAGAAGGAGGTCCAAGTGTTTGAGCACTTCCCTCTTACTCTTTTTTTAAAAAAAAAAAACTTAGGACAGCATGGGAGATCTAACATGTATGGGGAATTTGGGGAAGGGCGGAGAATTCCGATTGACTGGATCTGAGCAGGAAGAGGTTTATGATGTGCCACAGACCCAAGCTCTTTGAATGTTCATAGTAGTTGTGTGATTTATTTATTTAGATACCACATTTATATCAGGCTGCCCTCCCAAAGCTCTCCACAACTTCCATGATGCAATAATAATAATAATAATAATAATTTAAACCTCCAAGGTACTTTAAACATTAAAAATTAAATCATAAAACCATAAACCCATAACGATCCTCTTGGCCACAGTCACAAAAATATAATGAATAAAATAGGAATAAAAGAAGGTGCAAGTCACGATCTCATCTGGAACTCTCTCCAAAGTCGCTCAGTTTTTGAACATCTTTCTAAAAGTCTCCAGGGAGGGGCTGGCTCAAACTGGCTTCAGTTCCAGGACCACAAAGAGCTTCTCCCTAAATAATCTGGCAAGTTGGGCCGATTCCGGTTGGAGAGGGTGGTTCTATAAGATGCCCAGATGCCAAGCCAAAAGAGTCATTTTGGGTCACAGGGCAGAAGGGAAGACAAATGTGAAAATGCACAGGTATTCTCCTGCGGAAGTATCTATATTTCCTAGTTGTCTTCATTTGGAAAACATGAGTTTGGGAGTTGCAAATAAAGAACTTAATCTTTGCAAGGACTAATAGTCTTTTTGCATTTCGGCTCAAGGTAGATCTTTGTATTGAGCCTAGATCTTTATTTTTTTACATTTCTTCATAATGAGGCTTACTGCTATCTTTTTCAGGTAGGCTCAAATTGCCAGTAGCAGATGTTGTTCAGCTTTTTTGAAATAGAATCACTTCAGAAATTTAATATCTGCAATTGCAACTCGCAGAAGATTGATTTCTAAAACCCATTGGTTATATCCACTATCGTAGATGTTTCATAGAGTTGTGTCAGATTGTGTATTAAGTGAAAACTGACTGTTAGGGAGACACTTGTGTCTGAAGGACCAAGTACTCTCTGGGTGTGTTTTCTTTCACAAGAAAAAGTTTGCCTTACTCTGAGGAAAACACTGGATTAAAAAAAATTGTTGAACTTTGCACATTGTGGCAAACTTTTGAGTGGGAGTTGAAAATACTATTTTTATTTATATATGATCTTTAACAGACCAATTTAAGTTTGCTGTGTGGAAGTAAAATATGATTGCAAGGGATAGTTCTTACAAAAAGTATTCATTTCCCTCATGAGGGAGCACAATTCCTCCATCAGGTGAGGAAAGAGGAAGTCCCACTTTAAAAAACAAAACAGGACACCCTCTTTACTCCAACCATTAAATTTCCAGATAAACACACTAAGGAGTTAGGAGCTAGCATATATGTCAGGCATTTGGACTTTCCCACATAATTCACTGTAAAACCTTAAGTAGTGTGTATGTGCAGGAGACACTTCTATCAAATTTCATAGCGATGATGGATTTTTGTGTAACATAAAAGAAACTTTAAAAAAGGAGTGAAGTTATTGTTTTGACTGGAACAGTTGGAAATAAACAGTGAGCTCTGCAGTTCTCTCAATCCTGATTATTTAAATATTTGCTGATTGCTCTTGAATTAATTTAATAAAGAGACATTTCTTTTAAGGAATCTCTGTTCAGTTGGACTCCTTATGAAAATCTCTTAGCCCTGAAGATTGCTCTGCTGATTACATTGGAAAACTGTTTTTTGGGGTGAGGAAATGACAGAAGAACAAGAGTTGGAAGGCACCGTGGAGGTCTTCTAGTCCAACCCCCTGCTCAGGCAGGAAACCCTATGACTTTGCTGATCCTTTCTTTTCATCTACAACAGGGGTGTTAAACTGCCGGCCCGTGGGCCGGATGCGTCACGTGGAAGCCGCGCCCACCCCATTGCCGGCAATGGCAAAACTGTCCTGATACGTTGCGCAACGTCACGTGACGTCGCGAGTTTGACATGTCTGATCTACAAACCCTTCCCCTTGCAGTGAACCTGTGAAGGAACTCCACATATTTATATTGATATATCGAAGACAAGGGGGATTGCGTTCACCCCTCTGTAAAGTCAGCAGCAAAGGGCAAACATTAAAAGTCAAGTGGATTTTTTTTTTTACTTTCTTTGAATCTAGAAAGGACTCTAATTGAACCCCTGAGATTAGAAAGGGGAAAGCAATTCCTATTAAGGCAGATTCAAGTCCCATTTTTCGTCCAGTTTTTGAAGAAATCAATAAAACATGGGAAGAGGCAACATTAACAACATGATTATGATTATGATGATAATGTTATCCATTCAATCTTGTCTGATTCTTGGCGATCCTATGGGCCAGGTCTCTCCACATCAGGGGTCTTCAAACTTGGCCACTTTAAGGCTTGCGGACTTCAACTCCCAGAATTCCTCAGCCAGCTCTGGCTGGCTGAGGAATTCTGGAAGTTGAAGTCCGCAAGTCTTAAAGT